CTTTAGGTGTCTTTCGGGCGACGGGTGTATCTCTGGAAGCCACCTTTCGGATTCCGGGGGTGGTGGCTGAAGGAGGTATGCTTTGTGGCGGATATCCGGCCGCCCTCTCTTTTGTCCACCGAGGTAGCTCGGCAGATTTGAGGTTGCTATCCCGGATTGCTGGTTTACTGGCATGAAGGGTAGGGTATGGCACGGGTTCCATGCTGCATCTGCGCTACTAGCGGTGCTGAGGTCCTCTTGGGCGCGGAGGGAGATTTCCGGCCCTTTCATTCCTCCTGGGAACTATTCCTCCCCGCTCCCCCCTTTTTTTATTCTTTTTTTTTATTTTTATTTTCTTTTCTTCTTTCTTTTTATTTTCTTAAAAAAAAAAAAAAAAAGCAGTAACCTAACCATGGAGAACCCAATCCATGAACCCACTACCCCGGGCCCCTTCTTGATACCGCACCCCATTCTGACCCTGCCTTGTGTTTAGACCACTCTTCGGACACTCCTGATGCCCCTGTACCTCTTGCTGGTGCTGTTTCCTCACCCGCTTCAGGTACCGGGGCTTCGACTGACTCCTTCGATTTGTCTGAACTCCGCTCTCCTTTGACTATGCTTCCGGCTTCTCCCTCTACGGTACGGCAATTTTCGAATCGCCCACCTATTTCACGCCGGACCAACTCCGGTCCTACTCCTAAACGCCAATGTCAATCTCCTGATGATGCTCCTTCGTTACCTTCCCATTCTACTCGGAAAAAACCGACACGTCAAGCACTCCCTCTCCACGCTCAGTTTCGGACCACACAATGGACTAAATTCTTTACTTTAAGACCGACTTCTTCTTCTGCCTACCTTTCTGACCATAGTATTGGCAAAGCGCTCCTGCGTCATGTTGGTAGAGATATTTCATTTCATGCTCTCAAGAGCGGTACGCGCATCGTCCCTGTCCAGAATGCTACCCAAGCTCATGATCTTTCTCTCCTTTCGAATATCGATACTACTCCTATCACTATTGAAAAACATCTTTCTCTCAATTCTTGTAGTGGTACTGTCATTCTGCCCCATACCATAGTCCAACAGAATTTCCAGTCACGTGGCAATGACATTTTTGAACAGCTGGAACTCCAGGATCTCCCAATCCTCAAAGTAGACACTTATGTCCTTCCTGCCCGGGGGCGGAGACGTTACCCTTGCAATGTCGCTCGTTTAACTTTTGACAGCCGAGAACTCCCGTCCTCTGTATATGTCGCAGGACATCGGTTACAAGTTCGAAAGGTGATACCTACACCGCAACAATGTAGAAATTGCTGGCGTTTTGGTCACCCAGCGAAATATTGCAGATCTAGGGACCGAATGCCCAGTCTGTGGTGCCGACGACCATTCTAATACATCTTGCAGTCAACCTCCATCTTGCCTTAATTGTAATGAAGCTCACCCTTCGTACTCCTGCCATTGCCAGGTCTACTTAAATGAACGTGAAATCCGTTGCCTCAAAGAGGCAGAAGGTCTCCCTTATGCTATGGCAGTTACTCATCTCCGCCTCCAAGGGAGACTACCCCGTGTTTCTTATTCTCGTGTTTCCAAACATCCCCCCACTTCTGGGGTCCCATCTTCTGCAGCCTCCTCTGTTGTTACCCCTCCCATAGCCACTCCGGCATCTAATCCTTTTGCTGTCCTTGGCTCTGACGTCCTGACTACAACTCAGTCTGTTCTCACATCTTTGCGTCCTTCCTCACAAGCCCCAGTATCGACAAGACCTCGTACGACACCTAATACCAATCGCCCCTCTACTTCTCAGAAGTCCAAAAAATCCACATTGCTCAAATCTTCTTTGCCCCTTCCTTCCCTTCTTCCACCTCCACACTTTACCTTTCCAGTCTCTGTACCTAGTTCTTCCCCTCTCTCTGGCTCTTACAAGTGTGGAGATTCACCCTCCTCCTCGTACTATGCTTTCCACCCCCGTCCCCTCCCAAGTTTTTCCCTCTTCTGCCACCTCCCAGGTTTCTGCCTCTTCTGTCCCCCCCCACACTTCATCTCCAGTCCCTTACACTCTTCCCTCCCCCTCTACTTTGGTATAGTCCATTACTGTCCCAATCTTTACTCACCCTCCTCCTCCTATCTCCAATATGGTCTCCCATACATCTTTGAATTCAGAAACACTTGAAGCCATTTCAGAATATATTGCAGAGACTAAACCTTCAATGGACACTGACTCACTTCCTGTTCCTTCTCTTCCCTCTCCTCCATCTTCACAACCCCATTCTTCGCAACACTCCGTTCCTTTGCTACTTGAACGTCTTCCAATGCCACCACACGTTGACTTTTCTAACCCCTCTAGTCCGTAGGTGCCTTTACCTACAGATTCCTGGTATTTTCTTCATCGCCAATCATGGCCTATTTACAGTGGAATATCCGCGGCCTCAGGGGTAATCGGGGTGAGTTTCAGATGTTGCTTTCCAGGTTTTCCCCTGTTGGTGCTTGCTTACAAGAACCAAAATTACACTCGGCTGTCTTCCAACCTATCTCAGGCTATAATTTATTGTATTCTTCGGATCCTTTCTCAGATGGGACCTTTAATGAAAGTGCCCTTCTTCTACGCAATGATATTCCAAATTGTCAACTATTTGTCCATACCTCGCTGCATTACACTACAGCCCGTATCCACTTGAATAAGTGGTTTGCAATATGTTCTTTATATCTCTCTCCTTCTCGAGCATTTTCTGTCCCAGACTTTGCCTTTCTTTTTTCATCCTTACCACCACCACTTCTGTTACTTGGTGATTTTAATGCCCACCATTTCCTCTGGGGGGGTGTCTCATTGTGACTCGCGTGGCATCCAGTTCGAGGCTTTTCTCGCCTCTCACCCCCTCCGTGTTTTAAATACGGGTACTCCCACCCATTTTGATCCTCGTACTCATACTCTCTCTTGCATCGATCTATCAGTCTGCTCTTTCTCCACTGCACTAGACTTCACCTGGTCTTTTCTACCGGACTTACATGACAGCGATCATTTTCCGATCATTCTTACTTCTCCTTCCTATTCACCATCTTTCCGTAGCCCTCGCTGGCAATTTGATCAGGCAAATTGGGATCTTTACTCACACCTCACTGCTTTTAGTGAGGTTCCTTCTTCATCCTCCATTGATGAGCTCCTACACATCTCGACGTCAGTTTATACCGCAGCTTCTCATTCCATACCCCAAACCTCAGGCAGGCATTCTCAGAAGTGCGTGCCTTGGTGGTTCCTCTGCTTGTGCTCGTTGCAGTACGTTTGAAACGTGCTGCATGGGGCAGGTAACGGTACAAAAGAACCCCCTGAGGACTTCTTGATTTTAAGCAGAAGGGGTGCGATGTCGCCGTGTCATCCCTGAAACTAAACGCACTTGTTGGCGAGTATGTTTCCCCATCACCCCTTTCTTTTCTATAGTGCGTCTGGGGAAAAAAGTGAGGAAATGGGGTGGTAAATACTCTCTGACCCCGGCCCTTTTTCTGGGTCGTGGGGGGGTTTACATTTTTAGCTAGCATTTTACTGCTGAACTGTATGCCTTTTTGCAGCACTTATTTGTATGCATCATGCCTGTGTCATCATTTGTGTAGTCTCAGACTCCCCTTTGTGCTTACAGGGGTATACGAAAATTTGATACTTCCCTCCCCCAGTTTTTCCCTATCCACTTTGGCACGCGTATCTCTACCAAAAAAAAGATATTGTTTTTTTTGGGTCCCTGGTCAGTCGAGTACAGGGCCCAAAGAAAAAGGGAGACACGGGGCGCGGTCAGAGTACATGACCCTACCAATTTTTCCTATCGAGGTGTTCCATTTCGGACTATTTTGCTGCAATAGCTACCACCTTCGCACCGTTGGCAACAACGTTGGTCAACTCTGCTCGGTAACAAACTTCATTCTATTAAACCGAGCATAGGTTACTGGCCGTCTTCTTGTCATCAGTGCCGAGGTTGGGAGACCACTCTCTCCCGCCTTCGCATTGGCCACACTCATCTTACTCATGGGTATCTCGTGGAGAAGCACCCTGTTCCTCTCTGTGAGCAGTGTCAAGTTCCAGTATCGATTAGCCACATTCTGTTAGACTGCCCTCTCTATCAACGAGCACGCAGAATTTACCTCCAACGTCGTCTTCGTTCTACTACTCTCTCTACCTTCCCTTCTTGCTGATGGACCCTCCTTTAATCCTGACTCTCTCATTGACTTCTTGACAACGACTGATTTACTCCACAAACTCTGATGATACTTTTTGCACTCCCCTCAGCCCTTTCTAGTTCAGTCTCTTACTGCCCTTCACCCTTTCACCATCCACTACCCCGCTGTTATCCGTAACCTATTACTCATCCATCTCCCTTTTGCCACCTGATGCCCTCACTTCCTTCCTGCCCTGCAGCGCTGTATAGTCCTTGTGGCTTAGCGCTTCTTTTTGATAATAATCCTTCCTTGATCCTTGAGTGGAGGTGACGAGACTGGGTGGGTCATTGGGCTAATCGGGGGGGGGGGGGGAATTATTATTATTATTATAATCAAGGGGGAAGCGCTAAACCCGGAGGATTATACAGCGCCTGGGGGAGGGATGTGGAAGGCATTCAGGCTTAATTCGGGGAACTGGAGCACAGATCCAATTCCCTAAATCAAGAGCCCCTCACCAACATCAAGGAACCTTCCTTGAGGGGTCGGGGGGGGGGGGGGGAAATGGACCTGCTCTGCATGGGTCAGTAGACCTGTTGCAGTGTTCCTTCTTTATTATGTTCTTATGACTGAAAATGTGTGTTATACAATTTTAAACAAAGTTTAACATCCCCCCAAAACTTATGAAAATAGGATATTGTACATGCATTCATAAGGCTTATATATATAAAGCCAATTTAAACTAAAAGTGCACAGTTACAAATAGAGAAAAATCAAAGCATAAATATAACATTACACAAGCTGCAGGCTTTCTGGGTTACAAGTCATTAATTGTAGTAATTATTCAATGAAATAATTTTGTTACCTTTGGACAAAAATATCAAATACTTGATGCACCAATTTATTTAATCTTACATTTTCTAACATCAATACAGGACACTGAACTTAATGAATAAAAAGTACATATTGTGGTGTGTATGTTTACTTAATCATAGCTAGTTTCATCTCAACAGGTATTGTGTTTACATACAAGCAAAATTACAGTATCACCCTAAAGATTGTGCTTTGTGTAGAGATCAATGATTTCCTGTACGTCACCAGCTGAGCCAAGGAAGATGGGTGTGCGTTGATGAATGTCTGTTGGCACAATATCTGAAAGGATAAAAAAAAATTACTCCAAGCACCACAGTTTCAACTAAGTAGTTTTAAGTCTTACCAGCACATCTAACTTGGTAACATTACACGGTAGCAAGAGTTATGCATCCATGCAAAACTGTATGGACAGTAATTAACCCTTAAACTGTCCAAACGTAGATCTACATTCACGTGCGGGGGGGCTCTGAATGTAGATCCATGTTTTTGTTTACATGCTTTCAAATGGGGAAAATAAAGGTCAGAGTGCTACGCATAGGAATGTAGATCTACGTTTGGACACTTTAAAGGTTAAAGATTGTAAACTCACTGTAAAGATATCCTGCAATTCAAACTCTCAAATTCAGAGAAAATACATTCCAAGGCAGACACCAAGAAGCCTTACTCATCAAATGTAATTTATTACGACAGATACACACAAGCCTTGTTACCGACCATGAGATCTGAAGTAGGACAAATATAATGCCAATTTTTTTTTTCTAAGCTCTGGTAGTGTTATGATCTAGTGCAAAGTGATTTTAAAGAGAATTATTAGTTTTCTGAAAATCTTTTTAATACTAATAATGCTTGAGCAAGTGTGTCAAGAATTGGTATATGCAAGAAAAGTATCTTATCAAGTATTTAACAGAGTATAAAGCATGTGAAACAGACTTTGGAGAGGTGTCATAGAAAGAAAACCCTGCAGCAAAATTTAACAAGTGTATGAAGACAGTTTTATTCGGGACTGCCAGAAGAGAACTCCATCAAGCTTCTTGTACACATCATTTACAAAAGAATATTTTGTCTAAAAAAAGTAAACCTCTAGTTTTTTAAATGTTTTTTCAATCATAACCTAGTGATCAAACTCTCTCCAAGGGGCTTTGCCTCGATGCCAATTAAGGACTTTTGATCTAAAGAACTGGGGTTATTCTTTCCTTAGATTAAACATGATTACCAGTACCTCATTCATCAGGTGATCTACAACCCCTACTGGTTTATCGCTTTCTAATGAATTTTTTTTTAACACAGCCATGTCCCACCAAGGCAGCGTGCCCCAAAAAAGAAAAACTTTCATCATTCCCTCCATCACTGTCTTGCCAGAGGCATGCTTAAACTACACTTATAAAACTGTAACATTAATGCCCCTCCTTCAGAGTGCTGGCACTGTGCTTCCCATCTCCAGGAATCGAGTCCGGCCTGCCGGTTTCCCTGAATCCCTTCATGAGTGTTATCTTGCTTACACTCCAACAGCACGTCAAGTCCTAAAAACCATTTGCTCCTATCTAACACGCTCATGAACGCTAGCTGGAAGTCCAAACCCCTCCCTCCAACCTTTTCTAGGCCTTCCCTCCACTACAGATTTATACTCTTGAAGTAATTCTGTTTCGTTTCATCATCCCTACATGTCTAAACCATCGTAATAACCCCTCCTCAGCCCTCTGGATAACAGTTTTGGTAATCCCACACCACCACCTAATCTCCAAACTATGGATTCTCTGCATTATATTCACACCACACATTACCCTCAGACATGACATCTCCACTGCCTCCACCCTTCTTATTGCAACACTCACAAACCCGTGCCTCACACCCATACAAGAGTGTTGGTATAACTATACTTTCATACATACCCCTCTTTGCTTTCATGGATAAAGTTCTTCATCTCCACAAACTCCTTAGTGCACCACTTACCTTTTCCCCTTGTCAATTCTATGATTTACCTCATCTTTCACAGACCCATCCGCTGACACGTCCACTCAAATATCTGAATAGATTCACCTCCTCCATACACTCCCTCCAATCTGATATCTAGTCTTCGGTTACCTAATTTTTTTTGTCCTCATTACCTTACACTTTCTTCTTTTACATACCCTACCAAACTCATCGACCAACCTCTGCAACTTTTCTTCAGAATCTCTCAAAAGTAGTATCATCAGCAAAGAGCAACTGTGACAACTCCATCTATATGTTGAACAACCATGGTGACATCACACATCCCTGTCTAAAGTCTACATTTACTGGGAAATAATCTCCCTCTCGCCTCCATACTCTAACCTGAGCCTCACTATTCTCGTAAAAACTTCACTGCTTTCAATAACCTACCTCCTATTCCATACATTTGTAACATCTGCCACATTGCTCCCCTATCCACCCTATCATATGCCTTTTCCAAATCCATAATTGCCACAAAAACCTCTTTACCCTTATCTAAATACTGTTCACCTAGATGTTTCACTGTAAACATTTGGTCTACACATCCCCTCCCCTTCCTAAAACCTCCTTGTTCATCTGCTATCCTGCTCTCCATCTTGCTCTTAATTCTTGCAATAATAACTACCGTACACTTTACCAGGTATACTCAACAGATTTATTCCCCTATAATTTTTACACTCTTTTTGTCCCCTTTGCCTTTATAGAAAGGAACTATGCATGCTCTCTGCCAATCCCTAGGTACCTTAGCCTCTTCCATAAATTTATTAAATAAAAAATTAACCCCTCCACAACTATATCCCCACCTGCTTTTAACATTTCTATTTTTATCCCATCCATCCCAACTGCTTTACCCCTGTTCATTCTACCCACTGCCCCACACACTTCCCCCACACCCACAATTGGTGAGCGTGGGACAGTTAAACTACTTTCTTTCATAGCAATATAAAAAAAAAAAAGCTGAAATATGCCAATATGGTCCAGGTGTAATGTTCTACTGTACAGTAAATATTATTATTATTATAATCAAAAAGAAGCGCTAAGCCACAAGGGCTATACAGCGCACTGTACAGTAATAAATGTTTATTTCAATCTTTCTACAATAAATGTGCAATAATAAATGGAAGCCCCCCATAGACTGCACAGTATTTTGGGCAAAAGTATGCTACTTATATACAGTATAGTGAATTAGCAATGTATATAAGCAAATTTTTATTTTAATATAGGCAATGGTGGATGTACATGTTTATAGAGGAGCAATGGATATATTGGATCATTATTTAGCTGTAGCTACAGTTAGAGTAAGAGGTCGATGGGACAAAAGGAAAATGGCAACAGCAAGTAAGAGAGAGGTGAAAGTGTATAAACTAGGGGAGGAGGAATTTAGGGCAAGATATAAGCAACTATTGGCAGAAAGGTGGGCTAATGCAAGTATGAGTAGGGGGAAGGAGGGGGGGGGGGGGTTGAAGAGGATTGGGATAGTTTTAAAAATGCAGTATTATAAAGTGCGGTAATAGTTTGTGGCTATAGGAGGGTGCATGCAGGAGGAAAGAGGAGTGATTGGTGGAATGATGAAGGGTGTGATAAAAGAGAAAAAGGTAGGTTATGAGAGGTTTTTACAAAGCAGAAGTGTTGTAAGAAGAGCAGAGTATATGGAGAGTAAAAGAAAGGTGAAGAGAGTGCAAAAGGAGAGCAGATGAAAGTGCAAGAGGCACTGGCAAGAAATTCTGCTGAAAATAAGAAAAAACTTTGAAGCGAGATAAGTTAAGAAAGCCTAGGGAATGAATGGATTTGTCAGTTAAAAACAGAATAGAAGAGTTAGTAGATGGGGAGCTGGAGATATTGAGTAGATGGCGGGAATATTTTAAGGAACTTAACCCTCTCAGGGTCCGTGCTGTAGTTCTACAGCTTTAAGTTGAGGGTCCAAACCGTAGATCTACACCACAAGCTCAGCTCACTCTGATAAGCTGTGAGCGGTAAATTTGGGCCTAGATATGAGAGAATACAACAATGTGGTATGTGTGCACCACATAAAACAAATCCTGCAGCACTCTGTGCATAATGAGAGAAAAACGAGACCGTAATTTTCAATTAAAACAAGAGACTTTGCAGTGTTTTCTTGGTCTCATTTGATAGAATAGAAGATATATTACAGAAAGAGATGGTTTTGATTGGTTTTAGTACTGGAAATGGCTTGAAACTGAGCTCAAAGTAGTAGAAGTGTTAGTTCAAGAGTAAACAAATGACCTCGCACGTCTAATACACACCAGCTAGTGGGTCTAATATACGTTTACAGATGTGGCGATACTAATTATACAATTATTACAATATTGCACAACAGTAAATCTTCTATTTTTTGGTTTGAATAAAAATTCATTATGTGAATAAACCCGGAGGACTATACAGCGACCTGGGGGGGGGGGGGTGTGGAAGGCATTCAGGCTTAATTTGGGGAACTGGAGCACAGATCCAATTCCCTAAATCAAGAGCCCCTCACCAACATCAAGGAACCTTCCTTGAGGGATAATACTAGGAAATAGCTAAGAATTTCGTTGACTGGAATAATGTAATTGTTTTATTACCTTCAGAAAAAGATTCTCTACCATTTCATAAGAAAAACAATTTTTTTTTTTTTAAATTCTTGGACCCTGGTGCACACTTTGAAATTTGGCCTCTGGACCCTGAAAGGGTTAAATGTCAAAGATGAAAGGGAGGCGGTAATTTCATGCACTGGTGAGGGAGGTATAACATCTTTTAGAAGTGAAGAAGAGCAGGATGTGAGTGTGGGGAAGGTGCGCGAGGCATTACGTAGAATGAAAGGAGGTAAAGCAGCAGGGACAGAGGATCACGACAAATGTTAAAAACAGAGAAGGATGTTGTGTTGTAGTAGTTGGTATTTTTGTTTAATAAGTGTATGAAAGAGGGGAAGGTACCTAGGGACTGGCAGAGAGTGTGTGTATATGTAGTTCCTTTATAAAGTGAAGGGGGACAAAAGAGACTAAAAATTATAGGGTTATAAGTTTACTGAGTATACCAGGAAAAGTGTACAGTAGGATTATTGAAAGAATTAGAGTCAAAACAAAGTAGGATTGCAGATGAGCAAAGAGGCTTTAGAGTGGGTAGGGGATGTGTAGATCAAGTGTTTATATTGAAGCATACATGTGAACAATATTAAGATAAAGGCAGGGAAGTTTTCATGGCATTTATGGTAAGAGTGGATAGGGGAGCAATGTGGCAGATGTTGCAAGTGTATGGAATAGGTAGTAAGTTACTAAATGCTGTAAAGTTTTTTTATGAGGACAGTGAGGCTT